AATCTTTTTTTGAAGACTTATATTCTTTATATCTATTCTCCACCTTTTTATTATTTTCTATTTTATCTTTGCAAAAATATATATTTGAAATATGTATATTGAAATATATATTTTTTCTATCTATTATAGAATATTAATATTTCCATCTCTTCTAATTATACATGATAGGCTTTATTGGGTGGGTATAATATTCTTCTTTCGACCATAAAATCTAAAATAAAACTCGGGCGTGATACTAAAATATATTTAAAATAATACTTTTTAATTTTAAAACAACTACCCCTCGCGTAAAATATTTGATAGGTTTTAAAACTTTCCAAAGTAGGTAGGTAGGTAGTTATCTGTGTAGGTAGGGATACGTATCTACAAGCGCTTGTAGAAAATAAATTAGGCCGGATAGGTAGGAAATATATTAGATCGCGCGCGGAGATAGGTAGGTAGAAGAAATAAAAATGTAAAATTAGGATCAAGGTTGTCATGCAGCCTTAATCCTAATTACGTTAAAACGTTTAAGAAAGAATATGTCATATGTTTAAGATAAGTAGGTAGGTAGGTAGGATTATATATATACACACAACTATGTATTATTATTGTATGTTTGATATGTAATATATGTATACTATTGTATTTTATTGTAATGTATAAAAAATTGTAATATGAAACTTGAAAATTGAAAACACATTTATAAAGAATTGTAATAAAGCAGTAAAAAGTATACTTCTTGGAAATGCAACTTTTCAGACACATATATTTGTGTTCGTTAAAACATCTTTGTAAAATATACATGTTTTTTGTGTCTATACATATCTATGTAGTGTTTTAAAAAAATTAAAATAAAATTTATAAAGCAAAGAGCAGCAAATGATGATGTAAAAGAAGATGATACACTTCATGAATTCTGATGCTGTTCGCGCTAAAATAATATTCTTTTCTTTATATTATTACGTCTTTTCTTGAATATCACATTTACATTGTGTGAAAAGTTGCAATGTTGTTTCTTATCCTTTTCTGTTCTCTTTCCTCATCTTCTGATCACAAGACCGATCATTTAAATAATTCCAAAGGAAATCAAATCCACGTTTGCGAGTACTCTCGTACATCTGGAGAAGGTGACCATTTAAACTCGCGCACATAGCACAGAATAGAACCGCACGCTGTGGACATAGCGCACCGACATTTCGCTCGTGGACATGGTCGCGTAGTTCTAATGTGTACCACCCGTGGACATGCGCTAGTTTACGTGCGATTAAGCTATCGCAGAAACTCTTGTGGGTCTGGCCGCTTACGATCTTTTTTCTGTATATATTATACATCAAGGAAGAGGTCGATCGTAAACGTATTTTTACGTGTAGTCATTTGTAAGCGCCGCGATGTTCATGTTTGCGTACATATAAACTACACGAACCAACTCAGGGAATAGAAATACTATCTTACCAATTGCTTTGATTTTTGTTCTGCGCTATGTGCGCGCGCTCTGCACGTGCGTCGATTACTCGAATATGTCAAAAATCGAAATATCGCTCGTTTCGATGTATTTGGAATTGCAACATCTATTATTTAAAATTTTACGAAATATACAATGATCGACATATTGTTAGTAACATCTGCTCCATCAAATAACTACAAAACAATCGTAACAACTAGTTAAAAAGAACAGTATAACATAACAGGTAGTAAAGTTTTTGTTGATTGTGCAGATCAAAATGTGATAAAATATATCTTCTTATAAAGAAGCTGAGAAATAAAATAAACATTCAACAATCAATATTTTTATTGAATCATTATACAAAGTGAAAATTATTTTAAATTTTATTTTGCGGTTTTAATATACTTCTCTTCATTTTTTGTATGTGTTAATGAAAGTAACAAATTGTGAAGAAACAAAGAACAATGCTACGTAGCGAAATATAATATTTCAGTTACTATAAAATTGTGTTTCAAAAATGTTTAAAGATACGAAAAAAATGTGTGTGCGCTTTTACACCGTGGTCTTGGGTCGCTTGCTGAGATAAGCTTTAATTTTAGGTAGAGCACGAACTTTTTCCACTAATTTTTTCAATTCCGGATGATTCTTGTTTATATCTTCTTTTAGTACAAAACCCAGATAGTCCGCGTGCGCAGCCCACAGCAGATCAGGCCACGACAACTAAAAAACACAATAAATTTTCAAGTTAATAAAAAAAAAAAAAATGCAATTAAAAATATTAATAGAAAATATTTTTTCGTGTTGTATAATAATAAAAAATTTGTTACCTTGCCACGAACGAAGTAGCCATTGTTGTTCTTAACTTGAGCTTCCAATTTATCGAGGTAAACGGGTAGTTTTTTGTGAGCGGCTTCCTTTAACTTCTCTTTATAAGTGGGATCTGTTTCCCAAAAGTAAGTCGACAAAGCTAGAAAGAAAAAAAATATTTGTTTATTGAGAATTATTGCGTCAATAACGCAATAATGAAGTTGCCTGTTTGAAACGCCACATTAGGAGTTACAGTGACATAGTGCTTTACAACGCAGTGCTTGTCGGCTCTATAGCCGACTATAAATAGCAATTCACTCTCGTATCCCACAGCGACCTTGCTTTAACAACTCTTTGCGATTGGAAACATTCTCGGTATTTCGCTCTTCAACTGGTTCGCATTCACATTCACTTTTTCACACTTGATAATTATTCGTGTCTGTTCTAGTATATCCAACGTATTTAAATAAATAATATATGATGATATTTGCGTGACATGTAAAGTAATTAATATACAAAGAAACATATTGTACTTGTGAAATACAATAAATCATTAGGTTTCTTCTATTCGTGTGTCTTTTTTTTTCAAGAGAAAATTCTCGACGTCGAATTATACAGAAGTATACGTACGTCGAATAACGCAAGAAAAAAATCTTTTCACATTATATCTCAATCAAAATCATCATCTGTTATATCTCAATGAACCGACGTATTGTGTAGTTTTCGAGAAAATTAGTAAAACGAGAAAATGTTTATTTGGTCTTATCTTGTTACGTAACGTTTGCGAAAGAATTGTCGGAATAGATCTAAAAGAAAAGATAAGAACGCAGAAGTGCAAGAAGATATTCGAACGATAACAACAGTGTAAAAATTGACAACGAGTTTTATATCTCGAGCGAGAAAAAAAAATATCTGAAGCTCTGACGTGTGATATCAAGTTCTTTTCCACTCAACCGCAGGAGACACGCAAAGAGTTACACATAACAAAGTGTTACATACATGGTAACATACATACGTGGTTGTACATTTATATTGAGTAATCACTCTTCTAATAGGCGTGTCGGTATCGTCACGAGAAATAACAACCTGCGCGCGTTTGTGTGTGTTTCCGTGAGATTGCACAATATTGTTTCGTTCGTTATTTTCCACGCTTGTAAAACATTTATTATTTTTACCTATTCTCATATCGTCTATGGTATCAACGATGGCATCGATTTCCATAGCCTCGACGTCGTCGGATCCATATAAATTACCTTTCTTTGCGACAAAGCGAGAAATGGCCTTGGACTGATGATACACTTTACCGTCCCCGATCTCTAGAATCGGCATTTGTCCCATAGGCAAATGTTTCATAGCTGTAATCGTAAAAAAGAGTGTTACGTGGAAACGTAATAAAAAAAAATAACAAGCTACGTTTTACAAATTAGATTTAGGAGAAAAAGAATGGAAACGTTGAAAAGTTGAAAAAAAAACGGTAGAGATAGCTTCGACAAGTAAGAAACGTACATAAATGCACGTGTGTATATTAATTGCAATTGTTAAAATATAAATTTCACATACATATTACACGCGATTAACGAAATCAACCGACTGATGTAAAGTAGCAATAGTAAAATTAGTGCGGAATCATTTTTGTACAGTACAAAAATTGAAGGTGGGCACGTGCTTTTTTTTCTTTAGTTATTTCAGAAAATTCACGACATACTTTCTTTTTTTTGCGGCCATTCTTCAGAAGAAATCCTAATGTCCTCGAACGGTATTCCGCTTTGATGTAATAGAAATCTTATGGGCTCTCCGAGACCGGTAACATTGAAATATGTCAGCTTGTACGTCATTTTCTGAAAAAGAAATTTGCAGAAATAATAAATACACTATAAAAATAAATACACTAAATAAACACACAATTAGATTTATTTGCGCTCCGATAACGATTAGTTAGCACTATTGCAATACATTCGCGTATCTCTGTCTCACTTACATGTCAGTATTACACAACTTAGCTTTGATATTTTCGATGGATATTATTTACTCTTAAAATATTATTTTTAAAACTAAGTTTATACAAAACATAATTTATTTTATCTACAAAGAAATGAAACAAATAAAATTATTAAAAAACTTTACCTTTTGATTTTTATTAGTCTCCTGCAAGCAGATTTCTCACAAAGAATCGAAACGTTAGCGGCTGATGTAAAGCTACCGGTGAATCGAGGATGACTGGCACTGTGAAATGACAGTTCGCATCTACTTATAGGAGAGAGGGACACACACCCTTTTGTCTACAACAACATCCTCAAACTGCATATGCGCACTCACTCACAAACATATTGCAAACTGAATGATTAATCATAGATACGTAGATTGATAGATATCCCTTCTTCTCTTTTTATTTATTTTAATCGGAGATACGGTTAAGTGCTTCTCGAATGCTCTGAATCTGTAATTAAGAATATGTTTCAATTCTCTTGATTTATCAATAATTATATTAATGCTCGTGAATTTTAGCTGTTTTGAAAATATCGAAATAAGACGTGAAATACTTCAAAAACAAAATCATTAGAAATGAAATGTATAAAAATTTAATTTTTTTTTTAAAGTCAGGTATGAGCCAACATTTGTTTTTTTTACGTCACATAAATGTTTTAATTTTTTCATTTTTCTTTCTCGCTGTTTCTATATATATATATATATATATATATATCTGTCTATTTATTTATTTCTTTATTTCATGAAATGTGTAGAACTAGATTTTTGAAAGTAATGTCATCACAACTTGCACTTTACGTATCATCACGTAATCATGTTTTTCTTCGGGTGATAATTTCTGTACAGATACAATATATTATTATCTGCATATGGTTACACGAATATCAGTACAAACAAGTTCATTATCTTTCCATATAATCTTTTATATCGGTGAACTTCATCAATTAATATTAATCTTTATATCAATATTAATAAAAACCGATGTAAATAGGTCTGTGCTTTTTAGCACTCTATATTATCACTCTATATATATTGTAACAAGTGTGTATTTTTTTATTACTATTTATTTATATTAGTTTTTATTACTATTTATTTATTGTATATTAGTAACAGAGATACAAAACATCAGAGAGTTTGGCAATAATGTGCATATAATTTTCTATATTATAAAATATATCTTTTTTTTTAATTAAAAAGGGATATAGTTTTTTTACTGTTTTAAATAATAGATATTAAAATCTTTACACACACATATGTAAGAACATAAAAAATTGCGCAGTTATTACAATAAAATAAATTGATACAATAAATAATTTATTTTTAATTACAAAAACAAAAAAAACCGAAATCTATATCGTGATCTTCCGTATTTATCAGATCTTTTAAGCAAAGTTTTATTTGTTTAAAAGATATATATCGTCTTGTCTAGTAATTTCGAACATCAATTTCGACTTCATTTTTTGGACGAGGCAATCAAGTTTTCCCTATTAGTGATGATTTCTCAATATTCTTGAATGACTGAGCAACTCTCGCAGAATGTGCGTCTCTGTTCTCACTTTAATGATCTAATAAGAGAAAGAGAAACATATATCTTTTGTCTCTTTCTATCAGTTGATTGCTAACTGAAAGAGGAAGAAAATAATTTCGAATTCTAGGAAGAATCAATCCCGTGCGCTCGAAATTGCTAGAGTTTTATTGTAGTATTATATCTGTATACGCACACACGTACGTATGTACATGCGTATATCTACGTATCTCTGTGTGTGGCTCTTACGTAATTTCGAGATTTTCGAGTAATATCGATAGTTATAAATTACTCGAGCATGCGCACTTCTACACACATGACTCCACACACACGTATGTGTGTGTATGTATGTGCATATTTGTATCAGTTAGTAGCGGCAAAAAAGCCGCAAGAGTCCGGTGTGTTTCAGTGATTTTGCGCAAAATCAGAAATATGGAAAAAATATATCAGCAACAGTTCCGACACGAAATACCGCAAAGAGCTGTGTATATGACACAAAAAGAAATTTTACATTATCAGTTAAAATTGATTAATAATTGGAAACCGTGGACCGACATGTACATAACCTCTACACGTTCTGCTTACTGTAGTTTATTAAAAAAAAAATGAAGTTTAGATAAATAAAATGTATTTAGGTTTTGTACATGTGTTGTGTCGGAAGTTGTAAGCTACTTTTTGATGCAGATGGCCATTGCATCTTGGGCGTACTATTTTGGCCGGAGCTACGAGCATAGGCGCTATTTATCTTAATTATCGATTCAGACGAAAATTGAGATTTTTATATCACGGTACCATACCCACAACAATAACTTTTCTTGTAGTACCGGCGATGATGACAGCAATAGTTCAAGAAGAGGTACAATCTGCGAGTGATAACCGATTAAACATGGTGTTTTCTATCTTAGAAAATTCATAGGAATTGTCATGTTTTTTATTTTTATTTTGAAAAATCAGGACATTTCGTAGATAATCTTCAAGTCAAGAAAGTCAGATAAGTTTTGTTAAAATTGTTTTGTTTCAAGAACAATCAAGTTAGCTTTGTCTATTTTTTTCTAAATCTGTTTTTAAACATATGATAAACATTTTGTTGTTGGTCTTAGCTATACTTTATTCTTATGTAAATTAAAAATACTTTTTAAAAGCAATACAACAATCAAATTGGTTGTGAATTTACTCCTATATTTTCTAATTGTATCTGATAATTTAAACAAAACTAGATAACAGAAAAGTATGTGTTGGGAGATCTTTTCAAGATTGAATAGACACTATTGTTTATTTGAATTAAAGAAAATTTATATATATATTCATATCAATATGAAATATAAATGTACTAAAAGTGCAATGCACATGCTCTTTCCAGTTGTTCAATAAGAAACTATTCTTATATGAGACAAATTGCAGCCTGTGTCTGCAAACAAGATCTGTTTTACTGCAAAATCTTACTGGACTGATTGTACCATTGGTGTTAATTCCATTTGGAAATTTTGCAGTAAATATATATTTTTCATTTTGTCAAACTTTTGCAATACTGCCATGAGCAAATTCATTTGTACACACTAATTGCTTTTATTATTTTATAGATCGCTCCTGGCAGTACTGTGGTAAATATTCCACAGGCAAGAGATGTTAAAGCAGTAATTAAATTCATTGGATCAGCTTATCAGCCATTGCTTCCTGTAATCACATCAATGATTATTTTTCATTCTTTATTAGCTGGTTTTATATCATATAAGCAAATCCAGTCGTTTATTTATTTACACAATGCAGAATATTTATTGAGCCAAAGTAAAAATTAAAATTGTGAATATTGATGAGTTTTTTATGTACATAGTTTTGATAGTAAAATATAAATAAATGAAAGGAAAACGTTAATATTGATTGTTAAGTTTATCCTGTTACTCTAAAAAATAAGTGAACTGTCAAGCACATTATTCCATATATTGTACATATTCAATATACTTGTTTATTCCAAATAATTATTATTTCTACTAAGAGTTTTTTACTATAATATCTTAAGGATGACAAAAAGAGCGCAATGTTTGTAGAATATAAAATGTATTTTTATTTCATTATTGACATAGTGTTATAAGATGTCTATAATTATTTACTGATGGTCTTGCTTTTATCAAGAGTTCTGTCTGTAATTTATATATATATATATATATATACATATATGTATGTATACATATATATATATATATATGTATGTATACATATGCGCATATCCTTATTTCTTCTCAAAATTAATACAATATCTAGGCACCATATAATTTGTTTACAATAAACGCTCTTGAACTCTTTAAAAAGATCGCTGCTTCAAATATTAATAATATATACAACTTTTCTGATTTAAGAGAAAATTTTCCACAACGTTGAGACTTCTTTATATTTATTCAAGTGGGATCAATTTACGATAATGAGTCCTTATCCATAATTGTTGATAATACAGCTCTTTTTATAGAAGACTCAAACAAGATAAGTAATATATATTCGATATTTTTCACTTATTGGATGCACACTTTAACATAGAAGTTAAAATGTCTGTCAAAGTTTAATAGACATAGATTACTATTAGAAGTCAAATTACATTTGTTTCTCTATCACGTTAAAGAAACTACACAAATTTTATATTCTAATAGAAATTTCGTGAATTTCTATTTTAGCTCATATTCACAGAAAAAATTCTGTAGCATCCGTGCACGTGTTATAATTTTTTTTGTTTTTTACATACTTTTCAACCAGAAAAATTCCTCGTACGATTTGGTTTTCTAAGATCGAATTGGGCACGAGTGGGCGCGATTTTGATTTGCCGACTATTCTAGTATTAAGTATATTTATAGTGGCAGTTTACTGGACGTTATACAGGGGCTCGAATAGTAAGGAGATCCCAGGAACTATGTATGTACGTATATGTAACACGTGATAAGAATGTATAAAAGATAACACGGAATCGACTCAACTGAAAAGTAACAACGTGATCTACTTATTCCGTCGGTAATGGGACATTTTTTTTACATAACACCTACAACGAGACGATTATGTTGGCAGTGAATGAAGGCAGCTATTGTATAGCTGCGGAATCTAAAAAGCATATACGAGATGAATCTAAGGTAAAAAGAAGTTTGCTTGAAAATTATATATATATATATATATTATTTATGTTCAGCATTAATGCTGTTGAATTTATCGCTTGTCTGAGGTGTGCTGATCGTTCCAGCTTATTTTACACTTTCTGTGTTTTATATTTTTTTCAAGTTCCTCTATTTCACTCTTTAGTTGTAACTCGACTGCGCATACAACTGATTTTGGCCCTTTTTTTTTCCTCATTATTCATTCTCTACTTCTCTAAACGTTCGAAAACAAACTTCTATCTGTGATCATATATAATAGACATGAGTCTCATAAGAGACTGTACATACCATGATTTCTGCACAGCAATCAACATCACAATGAGATCGTTATTTTCTTTAACGTCTTACTATCTATAGTACATCTTAAAACGTATTTTTTCTTATAATTTGTGTAATCTACTGTTTGTTTACAGTAGAGGTCCCATTCTACTGATCGTTAATATACTCGTATCGATATTAAAGCAGTTAATGCAATAACGTTTCGGATTAAACAACATTACAAATTAAAATATATGAAACTAGTTAAAAACTCTTATACATATAAATTTTTTACTTTAAGCACACACTAAAACTCCTATATAACGCGGTACTTTGTTAATCTCTTTCTGATTTGTCTTGAACGGAAACGTAAAATATTGCAATGTGTGAGAGAAAATTTAATTTATAATTGAAAAACTATAAAATTTTGAGTATCGTATAACGCAGAATCTCCCGCGTTATAGAGGAATTTATTATAGAGTAAAATATACAGAATCCTTTTTGCTGTATACATATAATAAAACTTTGGACTATAATTTAAACGTCTCTTCAACTTCATTGTAGGAATGGTATAAATATACAACGTTAAAACTTTACGCAACGCATTCGTTTCAGATTTTAATAAATTGTTATTATTTGTCACAACAATTTGTGTGTCACTGCAATCAGATAACAAAAATCAATGCCCATAATTAAATCAGTACAACAACTTTAAAAGCAACTTAATAGAAGAAAAAGCTTGTACTTATACCATTAATGCAAAGAAATTCTCTTTAGACGTGGTGTTATTGATGTCATGAATTCAGTATGAATAACTTTACAACAATTATGTATCTTATAAAGAGAAAAAAAATTTTTAAATTGAGAAAGAATTTACAGTAATTGTGAGCTCTCTAGAGTTTCACTCTAGAGTTTCACAGAATTTACTCTGATTGAAATTTTTTTTTTTTTTTTTTACTTTTTAATCAAATAAAAATAAATTGTTACTTGCAAATATTTTGTTGTAAATTTAGATGTTTTCAATGAGAGATAGCGTTATAAATTAGGCAATCATGATATATCTGTGCATTATGAAATGGATGGATTACAGCGTCATCATTTATACAGGAAATTAAATTGAAACTGTTTTTGCGTTATTTGTTTTGCGTGTGTCAGTACAAATGTTTGATGTCCTAGCATGATGGCAAAGCTATGATAGTATTTACACTTTTTTTTTATGTCTTAGATCAGTGGCTAGTTTAATGACAAGCGTTCGAACAAACTAAACTTAGATCCATCGTTGCACACAAATAGATATTATTTTTATTATTTCCAATTTAACAATCATAAAATTGTACAATACGAGAACAAGAGTCTACATTATTACAAATGTCTAGCCGACAATATTATTATTATTATTATTTACGCTTACAGCAAATATTACTTTGGAAGAACATTGCCACCACACTCAAAATGTATTTTATTTATTGAGTTAATTTCCTCGCTTTGTGCATCGCTTTCTCTGCGCAAAAGAAATGAGAGAAGAATAACATTGCAAAACAGAAGGTAATTATAAATGCTTGATAAAAAATAAAAATATAATAGGCACCGATTCAAGCAGTAAATTGTATATAGAACATCCGCCTTCAATGTATCATAATTCTCTCTTATGCATTTCGCTTAATTTTCTGTGCATTACAAAAGTTCCCGAGGAATAACGATGTAGAGCACTGGAAAATGCAATACACACAACTCCATCAGAATGGCGGATAGTTTTGAATGGGCAACACAACCGAAGGAATTGGTGGCATCGGGAGTGTATGTATGAACGTGGGATGATTCGGCTGAACCATAACTAAAGTATGCTGCTGATTGGCCATGAAAGAGTTGTACTGAGCAGTACTGTATTGTGAATAAGTATTAACTGTATCAGTGGTATTTTTGTAACAAAACGTGCCGGATGTGTGGCAAGGTAGGGGCCCTTGAATAGGACCCCAAGCCAGCTGCTAGCATCTCCGATTGTGCCAATGTGTCATGTAGTCTTGATAGCTTACAGTAACCTTCTCACTTTGATACCGCGTCAACTTCACGCTGCGTCTAATGTCTGGTGTGACTAAGCCTTTATAACCGCCCTTATGTAGTAAAGAATCTATCGTTTGAATCTGGTTCCAGCCTGTGCAGACAAAACACACATTGATCTCTGATAGACTACGTATTTAAAAAACAAATCGTGATGACCGATTACATCTATAACAGATCACTAGTTATAACATATAATCATTCATCACAAACCTTGCTCAGTAGCAACATCAGGTAAATAAGTAGCGGTTCTTTTGTTGCCTTTTTCGTTGTGGAATTCAATGCGAATTCCATGGACTCCTATTTCCCAATCTAAGTAGTCCACGCCGTCCTCAAAGTGCCGCAGTATAGAGACACTTACATGTAAACGCGGAAGTTCGTCTCGTGTTATAGGATTGAATCGTGAATCCTTGAAAGCACTGTAAAAAAAAAAAAAAAAAACACATCTTACATATAACGTATAATAACGATTACATATAACGCGCACTCCAAACTTCTGCAATTAAATTAAACTCGAAGAAATCTATATTACCTGGTAGTAGCGTATTCTCTAAGTCCTGCATGTAAGTGCATGGCATTAAATGTACCTATGCAGCCACGAAGTCGCATATCCTTGCCAATAGTCCATGTTACAAACAAGGGACTAAAAATACAAAAAAGAATGTGTATTGCCAATGACAGAATAATCACAGGCTTCAAACCGAGCGTTATTAACAATGTATTCTCTAGAATAACTCCACTTTTTGTTTTGAATTTATTTGACTAAAGGTATATTAATGAGAAATAAACCATGAACGTTTTGTCTTGTAAAACTAACTTAATAAAATTGAATAACATTAAAGTATTTTTATTTTATACTAAGAATGTTATTCTAAATATTCAAAACCATAAGATTTCAGTATTTGTTGTATGTAATGTTAAAACTATTATTTTTATAAATTGACATACATAGTCTATGTTAGTATTACTTTGTTAAATTAAATAGCTATAGGAAACACCTATTAAAAATACAATCATTCTATGATCAATAAAATTATTTTCAAAACAAGGAGCAAAGCGAGATAAAGAAACAAGAGAGCACAAGTAAGATAAATATTGATATATTTATTTATCAAAGATCAAAGGGAGTTAGAGTGATGTGTAACTACAAGAGGATCCTAAAAGATTTGATTTACATTTCGGTAAACTAGAACACACAACAAATGCTTTCAGGTCATGCAACCTTTGTGTTGGCAGCACGAGCACAAGAAAGCGGAAGATGCCGAAAATACAAGACATGTATTTTGCGGAAAGACGCGTCGTCGTCGAGGAGGCGCTTGTGAATATCCTAATCGTCTCTCTTTCTTCTCTTTAACCATTATAACGAGCTATGACAAAAAAAAAAAAAAATACAAAAGCAAACGACTGGCTTCAACAAAGAGACACGTTGGCGTGGGCAGGCGGGAGAAAGAAAAAGGAAGACAGAAGCGCGGAGAAAAGTTGGTAGTACGTAGAGGGGGAGGGCGGGAAGTGCGCACGGGGAAAGCTATGAGAGAGCGACAAAGATGCGGCTCGCGACGCATAGTCGGAACAGATCGGGAGGGAGGAAAATGGTTAGGACGAGCAGCAGCTAAAGTAGCGGATCTACTCACAACGCTTCGTTGCTGAAGTTGGGCGGTTTCGGTGGATCGAGTTGGTGCAGCTGGCAGTAGAGAACATCGAAGCAGTAGAAGCCCATTTCGGGTTGCACGATTGGCGTATTACGTATACGCGTACCGTTCAGCAAGGCCGTGCCGTTGCACGGGACACTCGTGGTGTTGTTGTTAAGTTTTTGCTTCTTTGTACCGCAACAGCCAGCAGCCATGTTTCTCTTTTGTCACGACCCGAACTGCGGACACGCTCGGTCCACAATCCGTCTTCGTCCCGTTTTTATTCGCTTGTCGCGACCACTGCCGCTGCCGCCGCCGCCGCCGCCGTCGTCGTCGTCGTCGTCGTAGCGTGCCGTGTCGCGCGCGCGCCCCGTCAGATGGCGCGGCTGTTGCCAAAACAGCTGTTTCACTGTCCACCATCTCTTTTTTTCTCATCGCTCTCACTCGCGCTCCAATACAAAAGAAAATAAACAACTTTTGTTTGTTGTCATCCGCACGTGTCTTCGTCGTCGTCGTCGTCATCTTTGTGTCTTTTTTACGATTGTGTCAACAGCAGGTGGCAACATTTCCCGTGAAGCGAACTATCGTGAACCACGCGTAGTATTATTGTTTGGGAAAAAATAAAAAAGCGGAAAATTGACTACCGCTACTCTTTTTCTTAGCTGCGTGAAACGCACACTTCCGCATCCGGCGTGGAAATGCCAGTTATGATGATACATATTCAACTCGGAAGTGCCTATTCCAAACAGTAATGATCTGAGTACCTATTATTATGAAACCATCTGTTATCTATCTCTATTATGGAACTATTCGGAATCACAATTCGTAGTTTCTTCTTTTGAAAAAAAAAAAAAAAAAAAAACATCAAAAACGATAATAGTCGGAATTATTCAATGAAATCGATTTCAAAGTATTCTGAAATATATCTCCAAGTTCACAAAACCATAAAAGAAAACTGTGTTACATTAATTTTAACTTACAAAATACAACACGCGCGAAACTCCACTAAAATGAATACTAATTAAATTAATTAATACGTTTTTCTAATCTTTTTTGAAAAATATTTATTTTTCATAAAACACAACTTTGTCTAAGAGAGGAATATCTTTTTTTCGAACATTTATAAAACACATCTTCGTCCGCGAATTCAACTTCAAGATCTACACACGAAAACTTATAAACTTTTTTTAAACTTACACAATATAGATTATTTAAATTAAAGAATTTATACACAATAATTCCGTATACAATTCCGTATATCTTTTTTTTTTTATCTAAAGTTCTATTTGTCGTTACATAAATCTTCAGAAGACAGCTCACATAGCTAATGGAAGAACCGAGCGCGAACATTCTCGAATTCCGTAAAATTGTCAACTTGACATATTTTCCAACGCGATTTTACTTACCGCGCGAATCGCGATTATAATCGGTGTCTCTCGCAAATTCCATTTTGCACCCTCGTTCACCTGTACGTTGTTGCGAGAGTGGACGCGCCGATTGTCGCACGACGATGTGACACAACTACGCCGTTCGCAGAAAACACAACAAGCGAGCCGGCGTGAAAACGCGAACGGAGCACACTGTGAAGAAAAACATCGCGAGAACACTTTTGCTCGATATAACGAGCAAGACGAGACGAATTTTCGGATTCGCGATTTCTCGCGTGAGACGCGAAAGAAAACGGGCACGACGGAAAAACTAACACGGGAGAAAACACGCGACTCTCATCGCCGTCCGGAACACGACGACGCGCAATATGCCGACGCCCGTACGGTCGGACAACCGCATCCGCCGGAAGAATCATCGTCGACCACTTGAACGGAAAATTGTCACGAACGACGGACAATTACAGCCGGCATCCCGCGTACACGCTCGTGCGTCGCGAACATGTGCGGATATGTACGCACGTCCGCGAGGCGGTGCATTTTGTATGTCAATCCGGCTGGTGCGTCGCGACGCCGATCGTCTCGCACTTGCGCGGGAACGCGGCGCCATCTAGCAGCCGCTTTTTCTCGTACGAAATATAGATACATGTTGCAATCGTTGCAACAAATAATTTGATAAATTAGAGATATTATATTGCGATATATTTCTAACGCAAATATAATTTCTGGCGATTATGGGCGATGTTCCAATCGATCAAATATGACGTAACGTTAAACACATTCATGCACGAAAATCTGTCTAGTTATTTCAAAATTCCTCTCTCTTTTACGTTCAAATTAAAAATCTCTTCAGTTTGCATCCTAGGACTTCGAAAGAAGGGATGACACTCGGGGAAAATTAACTGCAATAATACGTTTTTTTATGACAATATAAAACTTTTTATTTCGTTAATCTGCGTCGCAGCGGCTGTTGCCTGCAATTTATCTTAAATGTGATTTATTTCGTATATTGACGTCTTCTTATGTTTGAATCTGCTGTATTCGGACGATCAATAAATATAATAGCTCTTTTGTGTTGCATTATTAGCTTACAAGTGCGATCAGACATGTATAATACTCTCATGTGATCAAATATATAATACAGTAATTTTTTTTGTGTCAGATGCGATATTAAATATACAACACGCAATGTGTAATAAATATAAGCGAGAAAACGAAGTGTGTTTCAAAAATTATTTACATTATTTCTTTATATATTACGGTGCGTATTAATTACTGAGAAAACACTGCGTGAGAATTTTTTGACTCTCGTATAAATTATTTATTCTATTCAATTATAAAATGCACATGTCTGTCGTATAATTTCCTCGTGGCAGTTTCACATACACACACACACACACACGCGCGCAAAATACAGAGAGAATAACATTAAGCAAGTCCGTATACGAGATACGATTGATATTGAGCTTATTAACGATGTATCCAATATGTAATAGCGATTATTTTAATGTACATATGTTAATAACATCAAGAATTCGTGTTTTACAGGTGTATTTTTTTCATTGTATTCTCTTTCTGGATAAAAATCCAGACAAATATGAATATATATAAATTTGCTTGTATATCAAGCAAACAATATAGTTACAACATTGGTTAGAACTATATATATGTTTCGTTTTTTCGCCTGTGAAAAAGTGCATCGTTTTTTTATGCGTGTGTAAAGAATAATTCATTACACAAACATCGAGTCTCATAGGCCAAATGAGCATATATATAATGCGGATATGCGGATGGCAGTTGATCGCACGTTGTGTGCCGAGAGACTCAGAAGGCAATATTACAGGAACTCACTTGCTATTTATCGATGCAAAAATTTTGAAGCAACAATGATAAAAAGCAATGACGAATTGTTTTTAAACAATCAATGCTTTTTATAATAAAGCAGGAACAAAGCAAGAAAAAGCACATACCCATATCCAATAACAAATTTCTATTGATTGTGCTAACGAATATGTATACCTACGTTAATATAGAAACGTATAACAAGATAACAATAAATTGGCAGTGTTCAATGCCTGCTATGTGTTTTGAAAATAGCTGGCGGTTAACAAAAGATGCAGAATTGACGTTGAAAAATATCTCACAGATTTGTCCAATACAATATTTTAGTTTATATTATAAATTTTGTGTTTTTTTTTCAGCAATTGCAACGTATATAATTTGCGCGACAACTTACATTCGGGGGGGGGTAGATGCCGAGCGCGAAAAATCCGCAATCGCAGCACAAAAATTATAAATTGAATAATACTTAAAATCACAATGAGATCTTTATAGCTTCTTACTTTATATCTAACGCTTATAACTAATATTCAATTTTTATCTATATAATTGTTATATATATATATATATATTTATATTTCTTTATTTTACAAGTTAAATAAATCAACCACAGAGAAAGTGTTTACTCTTTCTCTTTTTAAAAATTACTTTAAAGTTATTTTAATAAAACACAAAAATTGCAACATTCACGTAATAACACGACTAAAAATTTACTATCAAAGAATACATCAATAAAAATTATTTATAAATAAAACTTTTAAAGTTTGCCAAATATATTTGAGCTTTGCGTCTATAAAAATAAGTTATATGTGATATGCAAAAGATAAAACAATCCCGTTATATCTCAATTTTGTACATTGAATCTTGTAAGTAGGCAGTGAAGTTTAGGCGTAATCACTGTCCCATAAACGTGTTCATTGCCCGTTTATGTATTCACCGTACTCTGATCATGTTGTTTTGTAATATGGTGGCAACGCTAATTGCTGTTGTATATAAGAGCAAGTAAATTTTTAACATTTATTAAGAATTAAGCCAAGCTCCTTCTATTTTTTGTTTAACAATAACTTTTGGAAAAAATATATCAATGTGCGATATATATATACATATATATCGGAGCAATTTTCAACAATTAGACAGTGCCATCATACGTAAACAAGTTGTATTATTATTATTATTATTATCCTCGAGACGGAGACTGTAATATCATAGACGGGAGGTTGTGTACACTGAGACACAGAAATACGCACCACTTTAAACAGTGGAAAATTGCGAGAAATAATCGTCTCCAGTGTCATTTCCGCTTGCGTACTCCGCGCTCTGCGGCGTCCTGCGTCGAGAAGCGGTGGGACGGTCGCGTATAAAGCGGTGCAGGTAAGTAGGATGGACCTGCACCGTCCCACCAAAGAGATGGATTACTACGTATCGGTACCATAACCGGAGGAATTGAAGGCAAAGGTAATGGATGTATAAACCGATTTGGTGACGCCACAATTTGCGAACTTGACTGACCGGGCACAAAGGAATTGTACCGGGCGTTATTATCGTGTCGCAGATGGGACAACGTGGCTGCATGTGCGTTATTGTACCGTGCTTCAGCGGATCGTTGAAGCAGGGGTCCTGAACTAGGACCCCAGGCGATTTGCTAGCATCTCCGATTGTGACAGTGTGTCATGTACTCTTGATAGCTCACAGTCACTTCTTCGCTCTGATATCGAGTTAATTTTAAGCTACGACGAATATCTGGCGTAACCAGGCCCTTGAAGCCACCCTTATGCAGTAAAGAATCTATTGTTTGTATCTGGTCCCATCCTAGACACATTTAAAAGATTATTTCTCAGTCAATCTCACTACTTGAGCTCCACTAATTGTTTACATTTTACAGATACGCACCTTGCTCCATAGCTACACTGGGCAAGTAAGTAGCCGTTCGCTTGTTACCCTTTTCATTGTGAAATTCTATGCGGATTCCGTGCACGCCCACTTCCCAATCTAAATAGTCGACACCGTCTTCGAAATGCCGTAATATCGACACGCTCACGTGCAAACGCGGTAGTTCGTCTCGAGTAATGGGATTAAATCGAGAATCTTTGAACGCACTTTAAAATACATAAAAAAAAAATACGTGTCAACATATGGTGTTACTATTTATTATTTACACTTTATCACGATGTCTACTTAATGTTTTGGAAAAAAGACCATTAAGTTTTATTTGTTTTTGCCAGTTTTGTTTAAATTGTATAAGACACGATTAGAATATATTATTTTATAGAATAATTATATTAACTTCTTATTTTTATTAAAAATGTAAAATAAATTTAATTAAAATTTTTAGTAATTTTTTAAGAATCTTATTTTTTTTCAGTAGACATCTTGATTATAAAATCATCCGTTTATCTTACCTAGTTGTTGCATATTCGCGAAGACCAGCATGTAAATGCATCGCATTAAAAGTACCGATACAACCTCGTAATCTCATATCTTTTCCTATTGTCCAAGTCACAAATAAAGGGCTGGAAAAAATATATATTTATTGTATTATAAATTTCATTCGGTTTCTATTTCACGATTGTCAAGGAACAAACATTGGAAAAACGTGAAAATCGATCGACGCGAGTTCGAAGTATAAGTAAAATATATTACAAACACGCGAATATAATCTGATAATTTTTTATGTATACGTGTATGATACATACATTATATAAGTATACATGTATTACATTTACATTTCCATATCCGTGACATCGAAATTCGATGATTTAACAAATTTAAATTTTACGAATTTTTGATTTTCACGACTCGATCGCACAACGCGCGCGCAAGAAAGACACGCAGCGCATCATTGCGGCTGAAGGAGAACAACAGTTGACGCGACGCGCGAGCGAGACAGACGTGCGAGACACGCACGAGAGAAACAAAGAGAAACAGAGGTAGCATCGCGCGTAGCATGCAACTCACAATGCCTCGTTGCTGAAGTTGGGCGCCTTTGGCGGATCCAACTGATGTAGCTGGCAATAAAGCACGTCGAAGCAGAAAAAACCCATTTCTGGCTGAGCGATCGTTGTGGGTTTTCTGAGGTGGGGCGCGCCGTGTCGAATGACCGGGCCGTCGCAAGGCGACAGGCCGCTCGGCGCCGCGGCGCCGCCGCCACCCAGCCTCTGCTTCTTCGCGCCGCAACAGCCAGCGGCCATGTTTCTCTTAGACAGGTCACCGTCAAGCACTTGCGTCAAGGTTCGCCTTTTCGTGTGTTGTTCACCACGCGTGTCTTCACCGCGGCGTGTCCTACGTCGACGACGTCGTCGACGCGCGCCCGATCGCGCCCGCGCTCCGCTAGATGTCGAGCTGGCGGTCGCCCGAACAGCTGTTTCATTACCCGCCATTTGTAATCTGACGCTCGCGTCATCGCGCCATTGATATTGTAATTAGCGGCTGCACCGCGCGCGAGAACCTGACCGCGATCATGCGCGTTTACCGCAGCCAGTGACGCCAGCGCCCTCTGCGCCGTTTTCAAATCTATCGAGAGTATATCGAGATTACGCTAATCTGCGCGATATGCTCATCTCTGATGTTTGATTTGATGAAAATGGCATATTATTTATAATATACGAGAAATGGCAGAGGCAACGGTGCATCGTAAAGCATTAATAATCATTTCGACGCAAAATCTCGAAACGTTTGAGGATTCGAAGAGATTAAAAATTCGCGTTACTGAAGAATTTAATACATATGCTTATAGAAGCGCAAAATTATTTAATTAACGTTCTAAACGAGAAATTATATATTATTTCAATAATCAAAGCTCTTCACAATTGCGTCTTAAACAAAATAACTGAGACAGTCTTGTTTTGTAGTCTTTGTTGTGGAGGAGCGTGAAAGAGAACGCCCACACGCGCATCATTATAGTGACTATAATTATCTGCTCCGACGCAATTTCGTGTCGAATTAGCTTTTCCAGTCGTTACACAAAATTATTACGCGAAATTATCGAGAATTTCCTCTAATATTATCCATTCGAGACGCAAATATAATATTTACTTTGTGTCTAAGCGCAACGTTTGCTCACCGAAATGATTTCCCGATGAAAACAACAAGCAATAACAACGATTTAGGCAGTTTTTGTTTACAATTTTTTTTAAACATCGTAAATTATTTAACAATCTTTAGTCGTGAGTAGAGAAAAATTATAATAGTGTTCTTTGACAATTTGTGATCACTTTCTGTTTCTTTCTTTGGTTACAATTTTATTTTAAATGTGTTGAAAGTACGATACTTTTTGTCCAACAAAAACAATCTTTAACTTTGATTTTTTTTTTTATTGTGTACCACTTTCGATTTTGCAAAATCCGAGGCGTGATCGAAGATACAAAACCGAACGTTAATACACAGCTATAAATGCGATATGTCATAAAAAAACAATACGTATAAATGAATATTGCATGAGAGTATGTCGCAATTTAAACCTTGTTTGCAAAGAGAAATCTATTATTAAAAAAAAAATATACACACAAGAAAATAAGAATTATATTTGTTTTCAGTCGTTTTTGCGACACTGTGTATAGAACGCGCGCGCGACTGCGCAGAGCACAGCGGCGCGGCGCGCCGTACAAATTGCGAAAGCGAGTCGCGTAATGACGTCGCCGGCAGCAAGGGCACCTGGATTCCTAGTTCCTTAGCCGGCACCTGCTGCTGCCTACGATGCATCGCCGCAAAAGCTCGAGGCGTGACAGCGGAATCGTGCCAGCGCAACGTGCGCGCGCTGCGACGACGTTACGTTCGTATTTATTTTTGTGTCGAGTATTTTATTCTATATACGTACACATAATAGGACATAGAATACGCATTTGTTTCGCGACGACGACGACGCGGTCGGCTAACTTCGCGGTAAACCTGGCGAACCGAACGAACGGAACGAACCGGAATTGAACGACGCGAAATCGGAATCGGTGTAATACGGAACAGTGCGCAAATTCGGAAATCGAAAGCGCGACGGTGAAAACGTTTCGCGTGTGTTTTGCGGATTCGAGTTTACGCGTCGTCGAACCCGTTTGTGCGGCGAAAATTCTGTGACTTGTCGATGCGATGGTGATCGCGATATCAGCGAAGTGTGATAAATCATATTATTAAGGATAACGTCGGAGTCGTCGCAAACAAAACGTGCGCGCGCGACTTCCGAAGGTGTGACACCGACTTCGTCAGGTAAGTCTATGAATCATTGCGGTAGGTCTATGATGTCTATGCGAGGTATAAACTTGATTTTTTTAAACACAATCTTCTGACGTTTATTTATAACGTCTTTCACGTTGACGTATCCGCGTGTGCATCAACGCGAAACGCGTTACATAAAAGAACGGCGCATGCGGTTAAATGCGAGTCACGTTTGCGCAACCTGACGCGTTTTGCCCCGGCGTAAAGTCACGTCTCGCGAATTTTCCAATCTCCGGTCGAAATTTCGACTAATCAACTCTTTTGCGCGCGATTCGGTAAACAGAAACCGCATATCTCGCAGTTTCTAATATCGAATGACGAAAAAATAATATTGACGCGTTTTTTATGTTTCTGTTTAAGAAAAAAAACAGTTGAGAGAGCCTATTCTTTCGCGGGGAATGAAAAAGGAATAGTTTGATGAGACGCGATAATAAAAATAATTTCGCGTTTTCTTGCGAAAAAAATGACGATTTTGCAATTAAACATAAGAATTGCGAGACGGCAAGTTCATTTTGTTTTGTTTTGGGAGATATCGCAAACTTTCTCTTTTAACAAAAGTCAGTGTGTTTAATTTGCGTTTGCGTGTATCTCACAATTTCTAATATGTGTATATTAAATTATATGTAAAAATAAATAAAAAAAAAACGTTTTCTATATTTTCTCTTTTAGAGAAAATTAGTACATTTAATGAAGAGAAAAAGCAGTATTTAAATAATTTATCATTGTTGTGTGTGACACGTTGAATCTCAAACAGAAAAATCGTGAGAAAAAAATTTTGCTTATTTCTTTATATTACAACTTTTTTTTTTCAAAAATAGAGCAATATTAACAAGTTGCGCACAAGCGAACATGGTTATTATATACATGATCTTATGTAATGTGGCAATTAATCTCGTAACTCGAAAAGTTATTAAGTTTCGCCGGTTCTCCATTGACTCTCGGGAAAATTAATTGCGATACATCACATCTTTATCGCAACAATAAGCATTACTATGTTATATCACACGTTCCAATTTACGTACCGTTATTATCACACTGCCCGCACATGTAATCAATATAATTAATGACGCATTTAGGTATTTTACATAGTTGATTCATCTATAATATTGATAAATTGCAATTGGACATTTGCGTAGACATATTAACAGATATATTAAAGCTGATAAAAAAGTATTGTCGAAAGACGAAACTCATATACTCGTTGACTATATCCGCGTGGAAGTCACATACAGTTCGTAACAACAACGAAATCTTTCCATTAACGAAATGTAAATATGTAATATTTTTTTTATAAATGTAATTTAATTTAAGTAAACAAAAACTAGTAACAATTAGTACAAACAACTTCTCTCTCTTTTCTCGCTTTTTTAGATTTCAAAAATTCTCTCTCTTTCTCTCTGTTATTGTTATTATTTCATCAAACCATTGAGATAAAGTTCAAACTTTATTTATAGTTCGTATATAAATTCCATCGCTCACGTCGAGATAATTTCATCGAGCAATCGTTGATTCTCGCGGATTCGAACGATTTTATTCGGACAATTTTTTGATTCGCGATGCTTTTTGTGCTACGCGAGTTTTTCAAATTCTCGCGGAGAATATTGCGACGATTTTGACAAAATTGCGACGGGAGACAGGAGTACAATCTCGCCGAAACACACAAAATGCATTTGCCGGTTTAACGGCGTTGCTGTTGATAATACACTTGCTCTCGCATACCGCAGACTCGATTTCGCCATTAGTATTTCGCGAGATAAAAGATGTCCCGCTCCCGAGTTTTTGCTACGTGTTATTTTGCAAATTAAAAACTAGATTATTAATTGAATGATCGAAACAACATGCGTTAATAATATTTAAAAAGTGTGCGTGTATAATTGACACGGTCGTTGCGCGACAACAAACAACCTCAGGTAACTAACGGAATTCGCTCTTTAAAACATTTAACGGCAATAGAGTTTCAACAATAATAATAGAGACAAAACAATTCTTTTCGGGATTCTTTTATTTTAACGGATTTACTTTCAAGAAAAAATCTTTCTTCCTCTCTGAAGAGTTCACTTTTACGGTCCATATTTTCTTCGTCGAGAGATTCGCGATCACGTTTAACTCGTCTTTCCGTCACGGGAGTGTAGTTTATTGGCAGAAAAATCGCGCGCGCGCGGTGTTCCGCGAGACTTGGGATGATGTAATCGTCATGCCGGTGGTTTCACGCGTAAGAAAATACTTACGCACAGCTTAAATTACACGGCCGAGGAAGAAGCCGCAGGTGGGGTTCGAAATCGCGTACGATAAAAGGCAAACAATGCTTATTATTATTTGTAACAATCGCGCTTGTGACTACAACGTTCTTTCTCTCCTCTCGTTTCATCCGATTTTTCTCATCCCATTTTTATTGGGAAAATACGGTCACTCGTCACACATACACACACACACACACACACACACACACGCGTTATATTTTCTATTTTGTTTGCATTATTTTATGTCGGATATGACAAAAGAAAGAAATATACACAGACTTTCAATGTCAGAGCGGACTTATCTGCGCGATTAAACATATGTATTTTGTGCACACACGCGCGAAAATTTCAAGCTTGTTTGTTCCTCGACCTTTGACAATAAATGCAGTCGTTTAAATGAAATAGAAATGCACTGCATCTTCTAGCAGCGACATGCGTTGCACAACCAAGGCGGGGTTTCTTATGAGAACTACGTGACGAATTGCTGATTCACAGCAAAAGCTCGTTTCTCAATGTATTTTGCATTAAAGCATCGCGAGATGCTAAACGTACGAATGAAAAAAGGATAAATTTTTTAACACGAGTAATAATTATTTTACGCAAAAGATCTTAGAGCAAAATAAACAAAATAAATTCAGATATAAAATTAAGTGAAATTGTAAAATATTGTTCTCTTCTTTTTGTTGTTTAAGTTTGCTTTTTGTATATTTTATTTATTATTTGTTATGTCACGAATGACCAAATTGATTGCATTAATACATAAACAGCGCGCGCGTTCCACGCGTCGCATATGTTGTGATTTAAAATTTATGCATTATCTCTCTCCCGTTTATATATATATATTTAGTCACAATCATCACGCAACATGGTCGTCGGAAATGTTTAAAGGACGGGGCGAGCAAACATGCCGCGACGGAATTCGCATAATGCAAACGGGAAATTCTTGGCGATGCTCGGCCGATGGCGCGTATCCGCGCCGGCCACTCAAAGAATCGCGTGGCTATTGAGAAATCTTTGCCTTGGGAGGACATTACCTGCCGCTCATCGGTACCGGTATGCATTCCCACACCTTCACCTTTATACGTCGGTGATTTGCTATCTTTGCGTGATGAGCGACACGCACGTTTCTATAAAAACATCTCGCGCGATCACTATTCATATATTATATCATTCATAAAAATAAAAGCGAATCGAGACGAATATATATAACGCGCATTTTTTACAATACATTTTTCTTTATTGTAATCGCAGAAATGTTTCTCTCTCTCTCTTAATTTTGTTTAGAGGTTTTAAATGTTGTATTATATATAGTTTTTCTTTAATAAATAATTATTCTAAATAATTATTTTTTACTTATTTTAAATAAATATTAAAAGAAGATATATATGATACGTGTAACTTTTTTTTAATGAGATTTTGTTAAATTCTACAGGATAATAAAACGGTTTTAAATAGATCTTGCTACGTATAAGAGCTAGAAGAAAATAATCAGTATAAAGAGAGATTTATATATACATAGGTGTACATATATATACACATTTATGTATATATATATATATATATATGTACACCTATGTATATTTTCCTATATCAGATACTAGTGTTAGAGCACTCCGAAATATATTTCGACAAACAAATACGCGGGACAAACGGCGGTTACCGATGACGTTAACAAGCCAATCCGGAGATTTCGTGCTTTAATTAATTCAACATTGTTAATTATTCAAATTAGTAGAATAGCGCACTTGCGCACAGTGTACACACACAATTCCATGGAAATTAGCGTAGCGGTTACTTGCAACGCGTATCGAATAGCACAATCGACTACGCCGGAGGCCGCGAATTATGTTCGCAATCGCAGCCGAGAGCATTTCCTTTAAATTCCCGTTTCTAATCCCGGTCAGTTACTCTCTGAGATGAGTTAGTAGTACAGATTATATACCGTTCTTAAATTCGGATATCCATCCAGATATTATACCAAGAGTAACGTACGTTACATACGTCAACGAAACCGATATTTATTTAAGAACAGGAAACGTTGCTGTTAATTTATTTTTTTGTACCGTTTTAATTCGCGAGACCGCGCATTAATTTTCATGGAAAATATAGGAGCGTGTAAAACAAGCGTATCATTTTATATCAGCGATGATAACTCCGGCGCGCAAGTGCAGCGCTCTGTCAAGAACCGTCGTTATGTAAATAACGCACTTGATACGAAACGTGCTCCTTAACGAGTGCGCATCACCCAGGTGCGCACACGCATTCGTAGTTTCGCCACGCGAAGGTGAATCACCGTGAGGAAAGTGCAGAGACCCTTCTTGATGCGCGTCGAGATGCGGCTCGATTCCTGTCCGTGTAGAAAGGAAAAACCGCGGCAAAGGATAGCGCGCGCGCGCGCGCGCGAACATCGCGCAGTGCTTCTCAAATATTTTTGCATGTCAATCTGAAGCGCGTGAGTGTTTTACAAAACAAAAATGCACACACCAGTATTCGGCATATGCAAAAATGTCAGAGGATTCTCTCTAGAAATTGTTTTCCACTTGGAAAAAAACATAAGACATTTCTAAGAAATACATCACGTGCAATTTTGATATTGTCTCGAAATCGCACGGTGTTTATTTTCACATCGCGAAAATCCATGTGAATTTTCGTCGAGATCGATCGCTTTCGCGACAGGTTCTTGAACTCTTCACCTCGCCGAAAATAGTAGAACTATCCCGTTCATTTTGGAATCAAATTTGCTCCGATTTCGCGTTCAGAGCAAACGGAGAACTTAATACAATTACGGTAACTGTGACTGTTAAAATCAGATGTCAAACTGACGTTTACTTTTTGCTTCAGGTCACTGTACTATTATCGGGGGTTTTTTTTTTTTTATATAAAGACTTGGATTACGTATTTCTAACTTCAATGTGTGTAACCTGATTCTTCTTCTAAAAATGAATGTGAAAAAAAAAAACAGAGTTACGAGCAAACAGAAGAAACGCGCACATATATATCACAATTAAAAAATTTTCTCATCAGCCTGTTTTAGTTTTCACTCGATGTTTATTCACGCAATCATACATATATAATAATTATTGAATAATAATTATTAAAATTGAGCACTATGAAACTAGCTTGTAACAATTCGCAATTTTTACAACTTATACGAAATATCATCACGAATATAATTGATTAAAAAAGAGAATCTAGTTGGTAAACAAAATTCCTTTTTTGCATCTGTGAGACATATTTGTTGTAAGAGATATTGATATGACTATACAGTAAAAAATTATTTGCATAAATAAATTATTTACATAAATTATTTACATATATTAATGTGTATGTATGTGTTTATTGTCTACACGGAAAAAAAAGATTTGCTAAAGTAGCAAAAAATTAGTTACTATATGGCCAGCAAAAAAACATTTGTTAAGTTTATCAAAAGTTTTGTTTCGTCAACAAAACATTTCGTTGATGAAACAAAAAATTTCGTAGAGTCAACCATTTTTCTTGCTAACCATATAATAGCAAAACTTTTTTTTCCGTGTATGCAACGCGAGCTAACATTATGATTGATTTTCTCATAACTTCGCGACTTTTCTTTTTTTTTTCTAAAGAAACATTTTGCAACGGTTATTACGCATTGTGTTACACGCTGATAACGATGATTCGTGGAATATTGTACAGGTAATACTATTATGGTTTTGGCAAAAATCTTTTCGGTCTCTCGTGTTTCAAACACTTTTTCTCAATGTACATATATACGCGTAATACGCGGCAATAGCGCGTGTGTATATAAAAAGATAAAATGCATAAACGTGTGTCGCGACCACAACGCAGAACGCACACACAGCCGCAACTTCACCGGTTTTCCCGTGAGTGGTTTATCAAAATATATTTCCGATACGCGAAGAATATAGCAGCGAGGTTGCGTCCGTTAATTTTGTAACACTCTTTAACAACTGTTCGTGTATAAAAAAATTTGCTCTATATCTGTGAATTGCTTCTATCTAGCTTACAACGTACAACTAAAATTGTTGTCTAAATCTCTTAAAAATATCGCGTTAATTTCGACGCGAATACGAGTAGGACGGAAAAGAAGATATATTGACTTGAGGTGACTGTGTTAGCTGCCGATCGATAATCGGCTCCTGATTTTTCTTCATCCGGCAAACAGCGATACTCGTTATCATTTGGCAGAACGTTCTTCACAATAGCGAGAAATTCATTGAACGGACAAAATTCCGCGCATCCCGGAATCTTCTGCGGAATCAATTCCTCCGTGACACCTGTCCATAGAAGGACCTGCAAAATGTGAACGATATGAATCTCATGTTAAAGCGGCGCAGATGACAGCGCTCACGACAAACTGAGATAACATGAAGCGAACAATGTACAAGCATAATAGGCACGAGGTTAATCTAAAATTACAATTTCGAGATTTGTCATTGTTCGCTTCGCACAGACAATTTAGTATATTTCGAGCAGCAAATATTAATGTCAGTTGAATTATTCGATCTCTCGATGCGAAACTCTCATTCATCACGCGCGCATACCTTAATGTAGTAAAGTCCCAACTTATCCCGATACGTTTCCACTATAACAGTGGAACCGTAAGCTGGCAGTTTCACTTCGTTTATTCCCAAAGCGTAAACGAGAGCGGCCACATTGAGTTCGTGACTGCTAAAAAGAAAAGCTTTTCTGTCGGGCAGCGCTTTTCCCGCTTGATGTTCCTCGATGTCATTCACAATTCTGCGGAGCATCATGCCTGCGGACATAGACGAGCATTTGCAAAAAAATGTTCTACTTTGTGTCTTCTATCGTCAGAAAAAAAAAAAAAAAAAAAAGAAAGAAAGCGTGAAATCTCAAAGTGCTTCTCGAAAGATTTCGATTTGACAAAAGGAAAACGATTGCAAATTATGTATAACAGATATAACATTACCTCCGTTTAATCTTTTCAAAGTGTCTGTATACGAAGCGAATTTGAAACTTAACGCGGCTATCTCATCCATCGGTTTTGGGTAAACTGTTTTGGTCCATTCCGGAAGTGTCAAATTGTTCGCGGACTGAAAGTGTGAATAAATAAACGATCGAAATATACATTTCAGGCGGTGTTTACATCTATATCTCGAAAGCGCAATAAATTGTACTTACTTGTTCCTTGAATAGATTATATAAATGCAAAACACTGTACGGACGGTCGATCGTCTTGCCAGTGTGTTTTGTCAGATAGGTCAGTGTATCTTGATATCGATTGATTAACGCCTGCGTACTCCGTTGTCTGAGAAATGCTTTGAATTCTCGAATGTATCTAAAAATGAACAAATATATATGGAAAATAGCTCGACAAACTTTTGTTAAATTAAAAATTAAAGTACATTTATAAACAATAAATTTCTATTTAAATAAATTTTCGAATCTTCTATCTTTGTTACGACAAGAGCAATTGATAAGTATCAGAAACGAAAAGACTAAACAATAAATTCATCGGATTGGAAATGTATATTTATTTCTCAATCTTTTATTCCTCGACTTTGACCGGCGCTTCTCGAAATAGCTTTTATTACTTTGATAGAACGATTTTTCGAGTTCTTCAAACGGTCGTGTATCGATAATTGATATTTATTGTTGTTCGAAGATTTCTTTCTATCGAGCCATTTTTCAGATTCGGAGATAAATGAAAATCGCACGGGATCGTAAAACAAGCCGGAGGAGGCAGCAATTCGAAGCTCATAAATTTTGTCCATTGCAACAGTTGAAGTATAAACTGATGCATTGTCAAAAAATTACTGAGAGATAATTTAATTTAGCGAGTTATGTCGTGCAAACTGTCAAAATGAAACTTGTCAAAACGACAACAGCGCGATGTGATAGGTATTATTGTCGCTATCTATGCGTCGTTTTGGATACTTCAATCAATCGTCTCTCGTGCTTATTTGATTTTTCTCGCGATAAAGTTGGTTTTCTATCACTCACCGGAAACAATATTGGGGAAAGAGAAGAGTGTCGTCCAGATACGAAACGAAGAACGTGTACGTCGGTATCCACTTCAGGTCCGAATGCCATTGTTGTACAGTAGACGGCGGGAATAATCCCGCCAAGACCAACTGAAGAGACATCGCAGTTCGCGGGACTTCGGTGGATCGAGCGTACACCTCGTTCGGCCAGTAATACGGGCCGATAAATTTATCGTATCTCTCGCGCATCATCTGTCCGATTTTATACTCTCGCATCTTGCCTTGCTAAATTGCACAAGAAAAGATATTAAATTTGCATAGATCTCTCGAAGACGAAGAATGTTGGAAAATTCCACACACAATCTCTCTTTTGCAACTAATTATACCTTTGATTCCGTTATTTTTTCTACTTTCGAGACGTTAAAACGTAGATAAAAACATTTTTAAATATCAACTACGACAGGTATAATTTGTTACAAATGAACACAGTTAACAACAGATATATTTTAATTTATATTTTATTTTAAATGTAATTTTTACTCACGTTGGTTAAATCGCCGCTGGTCAGCGGATAATAATTAAAATTTTTATATGGATCGTTGGGGTAGTTCTGGAATTTTGTATCGGGCACTTTTTCACCATGGCGAAACACCTTTGAAAGAAAGAACATTACTCGTGTAAGTTATCGTCATCATCTATTATCATCACTGTCACATAAACTACAATAATGCAAATATTTTATTTCTTGTCTTGCGCACGAGAGATTGCTTTCTTGTAACCTCTCAATTTCTCTTGAAAACTTGGATATTAAATTCACATTTGCACAAATATATACGTATCTCTTGATATGACGACGTTTATCATTCGACCTTTTCGAAAAACAAATTTATCTCGTCTATACAAGGTGAAAAGAAAAAAAAACAAACTGGACTTATCACTTGCACGTCAACTTTAGCTTTCGTTATATACGAAAATTCGAAGAAATGAAGTTTTCGATAAGACTTTTTATTCCGTTGTTCGTATTTTTCCGTAGAAAAAATTAATTTAACGAATATATATATGTATCTAAAAATACTATTAATTAAACAATTACCGCGTGGAAAAACTGCAGTTCGTATTTGGAATCGGTCGAATTCGACGCGACGAAGCTGATGAAAAAACAAACGACGAAAACGAACGGCCGCCTCAGGAACATCTTAATAAAAACAGTTATTTTGATCGGAGGAACTTTTAAGTTTATAATACACTTAACTAAAACCAGTCTGGTCGGCGGTCACGTTCGGACGATTTAACAGTGGCAACACAATCTGTGCGAATGGTGTTTATATGACTACTCTCAACTATTCTTGACACCTGCGAGTGGGGGCGATACAAGAAACGCTCCGAACAGGCTAACAATTCTGACGATTTTTATTAGCGGATTCCCCGCCTGATCCTTTTTCCTGATGTTTGTTCGTCTTCGTCGAAGGACGCGTAAGCATAACTGGAAATCAACGGAAAACCACAATCAACGATTGCGTATAGAGAGAATTCTTTGTTGCCTTTATAGATTGAATCATCTTATTCGAACTTGGAATAAAAATCTTCATTTAGTTTATGTACATTTAGCTTATTAATATCTACAAATGTTTTTGTACTCGTAATTGCGCGAACAACAAGATAGAGAGAAAGATCGTGCCGTGTGTTTGGAAATTAAATTTTGAAGTATTAATTTTTTTTAATAAAAAAATAAGGAGAAGACAATAAATCGTTTCGAATAAATTATGTTTTCTTTGTAATTGTTTTTATTGAAACACTGAAGAAGATCCCATAGTGGATTGAAGCGTTTGTTAACATCGATTTGTTAAAATCGAATTAAAGAAGAATTTTACCCGAATATCAGATGTCTTCTCCTATCTTTTTATTTAAACATACAACGAGCATTAAATATAAAATTTAATTTTTTTTGTAGCAAAATTGATTTAGATTACATAAATTTAGATTACATAAGTTTTAGATTAGATAAGGTTTTATTCTGTAATATTCTAACATTAAAACTTCAAGGATATAGGATAATTGCGTGTTGGAAAATTTTTTGTTGGTAATGCAAAAAAACACACCTTGATATTACAGCTGATAATATAAAGTGTTATAATATTGTTAATGCGCGTATTTAAGGAAGAAAAAGAAAAATATTAAGAAAGAAAAAAAGATTGTTATAAGTACAAACTATGAAAAAACTCTTGAAAGCTGCTTATTCCACGTATTGATTGCTTATTATTCGTATTCAAAAAACAACAAGAATATATCTATTTTTTAAATGTTTTTTTAAGGATTTAAAAAATTATGTTTTGATCTCACACAAATGTCAAAGTCAAATAACACCATTTATACAATCTTTGCACTTTTTTTGTTTTACTTACGTAAAACGTGCGTAACGTAAATAATGTTCGAAAAATAACAGATTTATCTTATACTTGTTGTGCGTAAATAAAATAAAAAAAATTTGCATTGTCACGAACGGTGTTTTTAAATTACTTTTATTGAGGAGAGAAGTTCTTAAAAATCTCTTTATTTCAAAGTGAGACCGCGCGATTTTGCACGCTTTATTTAATTGACAATTACTTACTTAACATCAGTATTTGTAGATACAAGCTTAATTTTTTATAATTGCGATTTTATAAGTGCGAAAGAGCTTTTTTCTTGAAAAGTATATCATATCGCGCAAGTATTAAGGGACTACATGTCTCAATATTTCTCTCGAATTCAATTTTTCTACGATACATCGACATATTTAAATCTGACATTGATATATGTCATGCCAGATGTAGAAACGTATTGAAATAGTTGAAATTATTCGAGTTCCAAGCTTATTTTTCTGTCCGACTTGTGAGACCAATCTTGTAATGTCTAACATTTATCTGACGTTTTATCAAATATAATAGCTACCTGCATTATATATTTGTCATAAGTCATTTTTTTATTCAATGAAGACTGTGCCGATCTTTATTGAACAATAATGTGAAAGGTCTTCTTGTTTTGATACTTTTTGCTGTATCTTGTTATTGCCACTCTAAATTTTAAATTACATGCACTTTGATCCTTTTGTTTTCGTCAAAACAACATGCGTATTCCGCGGAAGTTACTTTAGAGAGAAGCGTCTCTGCGCGATAAGATTTCCTTTCACAACTCAATTCACGGAATAAAAGGAAATCTGACAGACTTTCGTCAGAAATGTACGCCATGAGTGAATAATTTTCTCATTTGTGACGACACAACATGTGGATCAATATTTTGCAAACACATATCTCTTGGAACGATTGTATATTAACGTTGATTATTTATGTGAGCAACAAAAAGTCAATCAACGTAAGTTTGAAATACGCAGAATTAATATCGTGCAATATAAAATCGGCCGTCGTATAAAAAGAGAATATATAAAAGAGAGAAAACATATAACATATGTTGAACATATATATATAAAAAAAGAATAAAAAATGAGAATAAAAATGTCGCATAAAAAATATGGACTCTTTCAATACGTATATTTGTATATACTTATATAAATATACGTTATGTTGTTACGTTGTTATGTTACTAGTTATGGTACTAGTTTAAAATAATTAATTTTAATTGCTCGCAATCGCACACACACACACAATCGGTTAGAGATTTTTTTTTTCGTATCATAAGATCGATTCGCGTGTGACTTCATAATCAAATGATTGCTATGGGCTCGTCGGTTTATCGGTGCAATTATCCATGATAAATAACCAATCAAGAGAGAGAGAATAGTCCGTTAAACAAGTGTATATCGCACGCTTGTTAATAAGATTCATTATACATGTATCGCAACTTCGTCATCGTGCTTAGTCTCAGAAAACACATCTCATTTTGGATTGTCATCAGACATTCTAGAATTGTCAATAAAATATGCTAAGAGTTTTTGATAAAAATTATATCTAATATCTCTTTTGTTTTCGTAAACATACGCAAGTAGCGAGTTATCTTCTATAGGTGATGATGAAATTTCACACCGTAATGCGTCACACACCTTTTATATGTGTAAAATCTGAGATGTGGAGTTGTACGCATTTTATGATCTCATATGTGTTGATAAAATCTATCTCACATGTAATATAATAATCTCATGAGCGAATAACACAAACATCACATAGGCTTTTATGCATGAGGTCAATGCTATTTGAACGCAAGATCGTGTAAAATGAGATCAGATATTATCCCCGAGTATCCGCGTATATTGAAATTAGCGAACAGAACGACTTTCGCGCGACCTTCGTTTAGAAATAACTCTACATAATGTAGTCATTGTAATTTATTTAATGGTCAGCCTTCTGTATCGATTATGTGTTTTACCTGTTAATTATGTTGTTAACGGAAAATGTGTGACATTATTAACGTACGTTTTATACATCAGAAATTGCATTATTTTGGAGACTGATTATTTGCGATGATTATTCGCAATGTAAAGAACAAGCGCCCAATTAATTGTGTTATCTAAACACTCGTCGATAATCATTATAATTTAGTTTTAACTATAAATATGTTACAGCAGGCACTAGAGATAGTAGGTTATTACAGAACAATTTACTGTCGAGTGAAAAACAATTTTTATGCGCGTTAAGCAACTGAGCAATTACAACTCATAAAATTAATGCAAAAAAAAATCTTTGGACGCATATAACTTTGCTACGTAAAAACAAGTGAAGTAAAACTTTGCATTCACTGACTGACGTCATTAACAACTGAAATATCATTGTTGGTACAACGTTATCTGTGAAGTATATAACATTTGATTTTTTACGAGATTTTTCATATTATTTTGTAAAAATAAAAAAATTGACATTATAATTTAGAATATGTGTACGAGAATATAACGAGATAATACAACATTTATCAAATGTCGCGATTATTTGTTTATCTGAGCGCGGTATATTTATTGATTTTTCTTCGGAGAAATTTTAATATTAAGCAACTGGCTCGATTATTTATTAATAACATAGTCTATGCGATATAATAATTATTATAATTAATATGAAACATGGTAACGATATGAGTATGTTTGCTAATTAATTAAGATTTTAAAGCTAGAAGGGGTTTACGTAATTTTCAATGCATGCGGTGTGTGATAAACGTTCTTGTATTCTAAAACGAAACTTGTTATTCAAATATAATGTAAGCAAAAAACATCTCATTATCGCACAAGAGAATCGCAGGTGTGACGTAAATTTAAGTTTAAGATCTACAGATGCAATCTACATTGTAAATTAAAAAACAAAAAACAACAATCGAGTGTATTGCATGTGATTAATTTGTTTACTAAATTTACATTTATACAAATTTATACTTAAATTTTTCTGCATAATATACGACATTGTTTTGATCTCGTGTTTACTTCAATTTTTTTATATTGGAATAAATATAAATGTGTAAATTACACTCGGTAAAGTTACTTAAATATGCTGAGAAGAAGAAAACATTTTAATTAACTTTTTTATTGTATATTATTATTATTATAAGTATTGTTATCGTATATTATTTAAATAAAATATATATCGGGTCACACTAAGTATAGGAAATTTGATCCAATATCTAAAATAAAAATCAGAAGCAATAAAAAGTATAAGAAGTAAATGCGTCAATTAATCATACACTCATTAGTAAGCGGCTAATTGAAAAATATCGTTTCCATCAAACGATCAATTCCGCGAATCTTGCGATTAATTCTGCTAGACTGATAAATCGATGAATGTGGTGATTCGCTCTCGCGCGTAGCAATATATTCTATTATTAATTGATACAAACAAATATGGATATGTCTTGGATATGTAATATGGTCTCGCATGTGTGTATAATTGTGAATATCAAATGACTCTTGTGGGAGCGTTACGTGTAAAGATGTTTTAAAAACGAAACACACACAATTACGCAAATTTGCCAAAACAACTTTGAATCAAACGCGCGAGTTGCGCGCAATTTACTTAAATGTACAGATATTACGCAATATACATGCCGCGCGAAGTTAACTTCAGCGCGGCTGAAGAGAGATTAATGAAAGTTAAATATACATGTAAACTTTTAATCGACAATATACTGACAGCTTTAAGCTTCTGTGCGCGTGCATAAATATATGCTTGTTTTTAAACTAACTAACGTTTCCATAAAAATAATTTTGAAATGTGTTAAACATTTAGACGATCTAACCGCAGACTTAACGCATAAAACAACACATCGGAGTTCTTCATTTTTATTTCCAAACTGTGAGAATAAAGATGATTCGATTGATTTGTTATTCCCTTGTGCATTTTAC